ACACTGAGAGCTTGCAGAGTGTGTATTCTTGGATGGCTGACTCATCCACTTGCATTCCCACTTAACACTTTGATTAGCATGAACTTGCCAATCAAAAAAATGACAATCAATTTGAGAAAACAGAAATAGGTATTTTAAAATAAAACCATTCGCAGTTTGCTTTGATACCTTGGTTTGTCCCAGCTGAAGTGAAGCAAAAGAGTTTGAATTATTTTTCCCGTTATTGTTTTCGCATGTTTGCCTCTAAAATAAGTGATTTTCAAGGTTTAGTGTGCATCAGAATCACCTGTAGGGCTTGTTAAACCACTGGTTGCTGGGCCTCAACCAAAAAGCCCCCATATTGGCACTTCTGAGTTCCTGCTGATGTTACCGGGGACCACACTTTGAGAATCTCTGCGTTAAGCTAAGGAAGTAATTTCCTCGTGGGTTGGGCTGCTTGGTATTGAGCATGGAAATTTGAATTGCCGATTGGTAGATGGTGTGTCTGGACTTAACTCACTTGGTAAATACTACTGACCAATACCTAATCATTCTTTTTTTCACCTCCACCTGTGTGTATGTGTACCCAAGCACACATGCGTGAAGGGCTTTAGCCAAAGTATTTTTACTAGTCTATGTGAAGTCACTAGTCCTTATTTTTAAAGGTCTGTGGTTTCTTGGAAGTAGTTTGATTGTTGAGAGAGACCTTTGATCTGCAGTGTAAATCTACCAGTCACGGGCCAGAGGGGCAAAAGCCCAGCTTCCTCTTTGGAAAGACCTAGTTTGCTGATGGTCAGATTTTCCTCAGGCTCCAACAACTGTGCTCATACCAAGCAGATCCTCATTTTCCATATAACCATCTTTGTTATTCGTGGGGGGTTAATTACAAGTGGCCAGAACCCCTGTTGTCAACGAAGAATCACATTGGATTTTTATTCTGTTCAGTTGTAGTCTACACTGCAGTCTTATTCCCAGTCCAAACTACCTCTATAAATTGATTTGTCTTGTGCCGGTTGTTAAATCCTGCCCTCCTTGGTGCTAGATCCAGTTGTGCCTCAGGGCAGAGGAAACAAAACACAGATATTCTGTTGGCCTGTGTTGTGGTTTTGAAGTTTGTACTTTCTCCATGGGTGCCAGTTAAATATTGGAGAGCAAGGAATGTGTACTTGTATGGCTTTGAACCAAGAGAGGATTATGGGCCTCTGGATTGAGGTTAAAATCCAAGAACCAACATTTAGAGCCTTGTGCTTTTCTCTCATTCCATCCCCTTGTAATGATGATACTTAGCATGAGCAGAGTGAATAACAGGTACTGACAAAGTCCAACACAAAGGTATAATACAGCCTGTTGTCTTAAGCCAAGAAATCATAAAACCGTGAGTAATAAATAGGAATCAATAGTTAGTAGTGACTCTGGTGCTCTCTGGAAATCTCAGCATGAACTGCTATAGAATACCCTCCCAGCAGCAAAACCTTATCAGTAAGGTAAAAGCAAGGCCAGCCAGACACAATGGCTCACGCCTGTAATCCCAACACTTTGGGAGGCCAAGGTGGGAGGATGGCTTGTGTCCCAAAGTTCGAGCCCAGCCTGGGCAACATAGTGAGATCCCAGCTCTATAAAAAAAAAAAAAAAATAGCTGGGTGTGGTGGTGCACACCTATACTCCTGGCTACTTGGGAGGCTGAGGAGGATTGCTTTAGCCCAGGAGGTTGAGGCTGCAGTGAGCCATGATTACACCACTGCACTCAGCACAGGTGACAAAGCAAGATCCTGTCTCAGCAACAAAAGAAAATTCAAGGCCAGTTAAGACAAAATACTATGACTTTGAAATTCACAGAAATATCAGTTTGGATTAGGTCTTTAGGTATTAAGGATAATCTCCTGAAAAACCTGAATTTCAGAGATTCTTAGACTAGCTGCCAAAGGATGAAGCTACTGAAGGAGAAAAACAAAGCTCAAAGCTTAAATTTCATCTTGAGCTCATGGATTGTGATAATACAATGATTTCATTGACTTTTCATTTCTGTATACCTGCATTTGGAATTTAATGCTTCACTTCTTTGTTCATTTTGGATCTAAACTTCTCTCTTCTTCCTTCTCCATTCACATCTATTAGAAGACTGCATCACCATTTCTTTGGCCCCTTACTCTGCTGTCCTTTCCCTTTTCTTTCAGTTTTTAATCTCATATGTCTAGTGTATTAAATCTCCCTAGCTCTCATGCAGTAAACAATGCTATGCTGTGGATATAAATACCAACCAGAAATTGGTATTTATAAACCAGTTAGAGACTTTAAGTCTGCTTCAAGAGGCAGGTGCCCCACTGGAATTTCTATAAGACTGGTACCATCCCCAGAGTTACAGAATCTTAGGTGCTGTCTCTAGTCTGTGATGGAGGAACACCCAGTATCCCCATTGCCCACGAATGGAATCCTCACTGTATCCACCAGATTAGAAATTAAGGTTTCTTCACTACTTCTATGGTAGGGTTGTCTGAAATTCCCCTTCAGGCTGTGGGTACTGGTCTTGGGTTCTAGTTACAAGGGGTTCCTTATAAGGCACAGGCGGAGGGGAGTACACTTTCATGTCATTTAATTTTAATCCTGCCCTCTCCAGCTGCTTCTTCAGAAGATACATCAAAAGATACAAAGTCTGGGCCGGGTGCAGCAGCTCACACCTGTAATCCCAGCACTTTGGGAGGCTGAGGTGGGCGGATCGCCTGAGGTCAGGAGTTCAAGACCAGCCTGGCCAATGCAGTGAAACCCCGTCTCTACTAAAAATACAAAAATTGGTCAGGTGTGGTGGTGTGCGCCCGTAATCCCAGCTACTCAAGAGGCTGAGGCATGAGAATTGCTTGAACCCAGGTGGTGGAGATTGCAGTGAGCTGAGATCGCACCATTGCACTCCAGCCTGGGCAACGAGAGCAAAACTCTGTCTCAAAAAAAAAAAAAAAAAAAGATACAAAGTCTGCATTTGATATAATGCCTTAATTACTGGGTCTACAATTAATATTGACTGTTTTAGACTGTAAGCTCCTGGAGAGCAGTATTGCTGTAGTAGGAATGTTTTAACAGTGTCATATGCAAAAGAACAAAATAAATATTTTGATTTTGTGATTCTATGCAAGTCTTTCTACCCAGAGTGATAACACAATAAGCTAGTCTCTTCATCATCTGCATAGAGTCTGGCCATTACCATCAGTTTTTTAAAGTGTCAGTATTTTAGGTAGTATAGTATGATCCTTTTAGATTTTCAGCTCACTCTCCTCCTACTCTACTTAAAATGACATGCCTAGTACATGCTAGAAGATTGATGTGACCTTCTGCACAGGAGACAGGGTCTTCACAAAGCTACAAGTATTTCAGTATATTGAGGATTCCTCAATTTAAAAGCCAACTTTTGTCACATCATAATCCATTCCTGTTTTTGCTGTCAGGCAAGAGATTCTGAGCTGGGCCTATAGGAAGTTCACTGCCATAGCTTGAGATGTACAGTGACCCTGCCAGTCCCTTTGGTAATGCTAAAATGCTGACATTACTTGCTCTTCCCACTGACCCCCAGTGAGCCTCTTTCCATCGGCACCATTCCTAGTGTCTTCCTTAGTGTAGTATGATGAGCATGGACTTCGGAGTCAATGGATTTGGATCCTGGCTCCACCACTTACTTACTAGCAGTATGACCTCAGGAAGTTAGTCTAACAATCCCTAAACCTTAGTTTTCTCATTTATTTATTATTTAGAGGTGGAGTCTCGCTCCATCACCCAGACTGGAGTGCAATCTCGGCTCACTACAACCTTCACCTCCCAGGTTCAACTGATTCTCTTGCCTCAGCCTCCCAAGTAGCTGAGACTACAGGCACACACCCTCGTGCCTGGCTAATTTTTGTATTTTTAGTAGAGATGGGGTTTTTGCCATGTTGGCCAGGCTGGTCTTGAACTCCTGAGCTAAGTGATCCACCTGCCTCGGCCTCCCAGAGTGCTGGGTTTACAAGCGTGAGCCACTGCGCCCAGCTTTAACACCTATTTGAATTAGGCACCCAGCATAAAATAGGCATTCAAGCCTTAGTACCTTAGTAAGTATATTTTTTTATTATCTACAATTGTTGTTACTCCAGCTTTCAGGAGAATGAAAAGTACATTCTTCTTGATAAGGTTACAATTTTCCTTTTTTAATTTTGTAAAGCCAAGGTCTCCCTATGTTGCCCAGGCTGGTCTCTAACTCCTAAGCTCAAGCAATACTGCCTCAGCCTCCCAAAGTGCTGGGATTACAAGAATGAGCCACCACACCTGGCCCTCTCCCACTCATATTACTCAGATTTAAACTACCCCAAAAAGGCCCAAGTCCCACTAAGAGTCTCTGTAGAACTGAAGATTTAACAGGCTCTTACTATCACAGCTGGCGATTCCATGTTGAATTAGTGAAAACAGGCCAAGCACAGTAATCCCAGCAATTTGGAAGGACTCCTTGATGCCAGGAGCTCGAGCCCAGCTTGGGCAACATAGATCCTTGTCTCCACATAAAACAATAAAAATTATTTAAGAAATTTGTTTAACTTCAAAACAATAGGGCGTGATTCAAAATTATCCTCTGAGCTGCCTCTCAGATTGGTTCTTTCCGGGAAAAATTCTTAAGCAAGTTGAGAAAGGAAGGAAAGTTGGAATAATGATAAACTATTAGAAGCATTCCTCATATTGCCTGTCCTCCCAACGTTGTACCCAAACTAGTTACAATGCCATTCTGTAAAGAGATCTGGTACCTACGATTTCTTCAGATTTACGCAATATCACTAGAATTTAATTTCTACAAGGGCAGGGATCTTTGAGTAGCACATAGTAGGAACTCAATAAATACTTGTTGAATAGATGGATTAAATGCAAGTGTCCGGGATCAACTAGAGTGTCCTGTGCTTACGGTCTTTTAATAAAAATGGAAAGAATGATGTTACATCTTATAGCAATTACCTTTTAAAGTCTGGGGGTTAACTGTACTGTTATACCTGTTATACTTCATTAAGGATGCCTTATATTTTTCCAAAAATATATTTATTTTTAAAAGCAAAAAATCAGATCAGTTTTATAGAATCAAAGTTTCCAGAGACAAACCAGAGTCTGGATTCCAGCTTAGAGTGCTAGTTAAGCATCAGTAATCTCATGCAGAAGCATTTATCTCTGACATTCTGCTTGACTGCAAGCACTCAATTCTCTAAATCTGGTTTGTACTTCTGCCATCATTTTATTCCATTCCATGGCTCTGGCATGCAAGATAATCCATCTCTAAAATTCAAGACTTCCAAATTGAGATGAACGACTATTGGGCTTGGGTTGGGGTTTATAACCAATCCGATCATTGATCATTTGTTCCCGGCTCTTGGGATCACTGCTGAGCCCAATGGCTCCTTCTCCATCACTGCCTCCTATGACTTCCACATCTTCCTTCTGTTTCTTACGGGTCTGAAAGTATAAAAGTTTTAGGATTAAGGTAACATTCTTTCAATTAGCAAATGTTTATTTAGAGCACCTACCATGTACTAGGCATGGAGTAAACGACAGAGTTAAGGTGAGAAGAACAACAAACTGAAATCCTAGGTTCGGAATAGTTAGGGCACAGTGAGGATACGGTGATAAAAGATGTAACCCTTACCCTCCAGGATGTCACAGTCTAATGGGGAAACAGGCAAATAGACAATTATAGGGTGATTAGGGCTATGACCTACGACAGAGGAAGTCCACACTGCCAAAGAGACAAGAGGTGAAGAGCTGGGGGTGTGGTACAACAGGAAGCTCCAACTGGAAAGATGTAAGAGTTAGCAGACAAGGGGAAGCAAAGGGTATTTCAACAAACGTATTATTCTAGAGAACAGGCCAAAAAAGAAGTGGTAAAGATTTTTGGTGGTAAAGAAATAACCACCAAAATTCTATAGCCTGATTGATTTCCATGAGATACATGAGAAGGTTTTATGCTAACTTATCAAAAGATCTGAGTTTTGGGCCTTCATTTTGTTTTCAAATAAAAGGTTTGGCTCTTAAATCACATGTGACTGCAAAATCCACAAAGTATGTCTTCGTTTGATCATTTTCAAAAAGAGACACTTAGCCCATAACTACCACTACCTGACTGTAAGGATAACACATGATAACTTTCTCTAAGAGAGTGAAATGATGTTTTATCCAAAGCTCCTTAATATTCATAGAAGAATGGCTCAGCTACTCAAATCACTGGAATTATCACCATTCTTCACCACTTGCTGCAGAACTGTGAGCATTTAAATGCCAAAATCAGGCTGAGCACAGTGGCTCATGCCTGTAAATCCCAGTGCTTTGGGAGGCCAAGGTGGGAGAATCGCTTGAGCCCAGGAGTTTGACACTAGCATGGGCAACATAGTGAGACTCCATCTATCTCCACAAAAAATTTAAAAATTAGCCAGACATAGTGGTGCATGCCTGTATTCCCAATTATTCAGGGGGCCGGAGGTGGTAAGATCACCTCAGCCTGGCAGGTCAAGGCTGCAGTGAGCTGTGATCATGCCACTGTACTCCAGCCAAAGCAACAGAGCAAGACCCTGTCTCAAAAACAAAAATAAAAAATATAATAAATGCCAACATTCAAAGTATTACAGTGAATAAAATAAGGTATTGCCTTTTACGTGGCGAATGACCTTCCTGATTACTCTCTAGTTAATCTACACTACTAGTAAGTGATGTTAGGAAGTTCTACCTAAATACCTTTGTGAAAACAAGTTCTAAAAGGCAAAAGACTCTTATCATTCTGAGACTATCCAAGTAGAATGAAATCACTGGCTTCCCACTTTGAGCAACTGCTGTTTCAGAAGCTCGAGTCACGGTAGTCTAATCAAACTCATGTTGGTAATAAATGAAACAGGCCAGTTTTTTATTGGTTTCATCGTAGTTTAGGGCATGACTATCCCTGCTTTCTAAGTTACTCTAAAACAGAGCAAACCCACTAGATAATTGTCTTTAGTGGAAAGGCAATGTCAACTCAATAGTGAGCTGACTCTGTAGAGTCAAAGTTCAGCATGCTAGCATTTTATGAGATTCATTACAACTGAAGTGTAAGCCATACTTTAAAGCTTATCCTTAATAAAAGTTTTTAAAAAGCAAAAACTATGAGTTTCGAGAACACTAAAGTCTCTTGGGATGAAGCAGGGGGAAAGAAATCAAAGTTATTAGTCTTAATATGAGGAATATACAATACATAATAAGGCTGTTGGTGAATGCACGCAAAATGTCCTGTTCTCTAACATGGGTAAAACATATCTACTAGGATAGCAAATGAAAATAGACTTGCACTGAACCCTCCTTTGGGCCTGGTTTTGCAGGGAACAGATGCAGAAAGAAATATACTAATCCCTGACTTCAAGGAGCTTATGGCCCAGGGAGGGAAAACAAAATCAAACAGATAATTACAACAGACAGTGACAGTGTCTGAGAGAGGTTAGCACAGGAGGATGAGGCTGAACCTAACCCAGCTGAGGGCTGGAAGGACTAAGAGTTAGCCTGGCAAAGAAAAAAGAAAGGACTTTTCTGGCAAAGGGAACACTGTGTATAGGCATTGAGATTAAAGATAAGCCAGCAGTGTAAAGTGGAGAGAGAAGCATGGACCAGGTCACAAAGGACCTCATATGCCATGCTAGGGAATTTGGAATTTACTCTGTAGGCCACTGAAGATTTCAAGTCTTATTAATGGACATCTAATACTGTGTAGTAAGGCCACACTTAAAAATACATATAAAGCTCCTACTACGTGCTAGAGGCTAGGAACTCAATGGTGAAGTAAACAGACATGATTTCTGCAATCAATCTTCCTAATGTAAATGACTTAACAATAAATAAATAATTGTAAATTATAATAAATGCTATGAAAAAAAAAATATGGTACTTCGTGAGAGCCTACAGAGATGGAGGCAGCATGGATGGGAAAGACACATCTAACCTGGATACGGTCAAAAGAGGCCCCTTAAATTGAAGAGCTGACATTTAAACAAAGACTGGAAGAAAGGGAGCACTCCAGGCAGGGGAAAATAGTATGTGTAAAGTCCATGGAAGTGATAAATACTTTGGCATGTTCAAGGAAATGAAAGAGAGCCAGTATGGCTAGGGTATAAAGGGCAAGGCAAAGAATGGCACAAAATGAATCTCAAGAGGCGCTAGAACATATGAAATCTTGTAGGCCATGGTAAGGAATTCAGATTTCATTCTAAATGCAGGACACTACTGAGGAGTTTTAAATGGGAATGACAGGATTTGAAAATTTTTGAAGATCTTTCTTGATACCGAATGCAGAACGCACTGAAGAGACAAAAATGGAAGTAGAAGACCAGTTAGGATGCTTCTAAAATTATACAGGGAAAGACGATTACTTAGAGTAGGACTATAACAGTGGAGATGAAAAGGTACGGGTAGATTCTAGACATATTCTGGAGGTAGAATCAAACGGTTTACAGACAGATCTAACATAAACGGTAAGAGAAAGGGAGGACTCAGGAATGAGTGCTAGGTTTCTGGCCTGAGGAATTTAATAGATACTGAGATGGGAAACGGGGAAGAATGGAGGGGATGACTGGTTCGAAGGAGAAATCAAGAGTTTTCTTCTTTTCTTTTTTTAACATGTTAACTATAGCAGGCTGAAAAATGGCTCCCAAAGCTAGCAGGTCCTAATCCTGAAGCCTATAAATGTTGCCTTATATGGAAAAAGGGCCTTTGCAGGTGCAACTAAATTAAGGACCTTGGGACTGCGGGGGATTATCCTGGGTTAGCCAGGTGGGCCCTAAACACAATCACATATCTCCTTATAAGAAGGAGGCAGAGGAAGTTTTCACAGACAGAAGAGAAGACAGTATGACTCTGGAGGCAGCGACTGGAGTGATGTGGTCACAAGTCAAGGAATGCCAGCAGCCACCAAAAGCTAGAAGAGCCAAGGAATGGATTCTTCCTAGATCCACTATAGGGAATGTGGCCCCCCTGACACCTTGATTTCAGCCCAGCAATACTAATTTCTAGCCTATAAAACTGTGAAAGAAAAAATTTCTGTAGTCTTAAAACACAAGGTTTGAAGTACTTTGTTATAGCAGCCACATGAAATATACATGAGCCGGGCGCGGTGGCTCACGCCAGTAATCCCAGCACTTTGGGAGGCTGAGGTGGGTGGATCACCTGAGGTCAGGAGTTCGAGACTAGCCTGATCAATATGGTGAAACCCCATCTTTAAAAAAAAAAAGGAAACATACATGAAGTTTGAGATGCCTGTAAAGCATCCAAACAGAGATTTCAAATAAGCTGTTGGTTTAAGAGTCTGAAGTTCAGAAGTTAAAGTTAATGTGTATGTTCAGAAGTTCAAGTTATTGTGTATGTATGTGTGTGTATGTACGTATTTATGTATGACACAGAGTCTCATTCTGTTGCCCAGTCTGGAGTACAGTGCAATCACAGCACACTATAACCTCAAATTCGTGGGCTCAGCAATCCTCCTGCCTCAGCCTCTTGAGTAGCTAAGACTACAGGCATGTGCCACCCTGTCCAGCTTTAAAACAAATTGTTTTAATATTTTATAGAGAAGAGGTCTCACTATGTGCCGAGGCTGGTCTCAAACTCCTGGCCAGAAAGTGCTGGCATTACAGATGTTAGCCACTGTACCCACCCAAGAGTTATTGTCATAAATATTCCTAAAGCTTTGAAAGTTGTATCCAGCTGGGCATGGTGACTAACACCTGTAATCCTAGCACTTTGGGAGGCTGAGGCAGGCAGATCACCTGAGGTCAGGAGTTCGAAACCAGCCTGGCCAACATGGTGAAACCCCATCTCTACTAAAAGTACAAAAATTAGTCGGGTGTGATGGCGGGTGCCTATAATCCCCACTACTCCGGAGGCTAAGGCAGGAGAATAGCTTGAATGCAGGAAGCAGAGGTTGCAGTGAGCCGAGATCACACCACTGCACTCCAGCCTGGGTGACAAGAGCAAGATTCGTTTTAGAAATCAAGACTCCATCTC